AAACATTTTCAAAGAAAAATGAAAAAAGTCTTTCTTCCAAACGATGGATGAATTTTGTAAATATTATAACTGAAAATGGTTTTAAAGTAAAATTTGAACATATTAAAAGTAAAGATAATTATCTTGCTGATTGGCTAAGCAGATATACTCATTCTTCTCTTGTGTAAGATCAGAATGAGACGCTTGACTTCAGGCAAAACCAACAATAGAAGGAAAACCTCTAAAGTTAGGTCTTATATAGAAGGACTCAATTTGGATCCAGTTGCTGATCAATTTTTGAACAACATTTAGGAGAGTTTTGACAATTTAAACCTTTTTTAGAACAATTTAAGAACTCTAGCCCAATATTTGAGAAAATATAATAAATTTAATTATTATGTTCTAATCAAGGGAAAAACCCCTGGAGTTTATAAGAAGTGGGATGAAATCTTGTTCGAAATACAGGATTTTAGAAGACCACTCTATAAAGGGTTTTATCTAATTGAGGAAGCTATCCAATTTGCTCAATAGTATCTTGGAGATAGCTTTTTCATTAGCCCTTATCTTTCTTCAAATTTGCAGAAACCTTCAGGAGAAATAGTGAAAACCACCTTAGCCCCACTAGCAGGTGGAAGACAATTAGTTCCCCCATTAGGAATTAATCAATATTTAATTGAAGGATCTTCCTCAACTTCTACATCAATTCCATTAGTAAATGATACTTAAAAGCAACTCAAGATGTATTTCAATCCACATGTTTCTTTACTCGAGTTGCCAAATGATTCAAGACAGTTGATTTTTCAAAAACCAGAAGCTTCAGGCCATGCTAAATTAAATCTTGCAAATCTGGAGAAAGATAAGGGCTAATGAAAAAGCTATCTCCAAGATACTATTGAGCAAATTGGATAACTTCCTCAATTAGATAAAACCCTTTATAGAGTGGTCTTCTAAAATCTTATATTTCAAACAAGATTTCATCCCACTTCTTATAAACCCCAGGGGTTTTTCCCTTGATTAGAACATAATAATTAAATTTATTATATTTTCTCAAATATTGGGCTAAAGTTCTTAAATTGTTCTAAAAAAGGTTCAAACTGCCAAAGCTCTCCTGAATGTTGTTCAGGAGTTGATCAACTACTAAATCCAAATTGAGCCCTTCTGTACAGGACCTAACTCTAGAGGTTTTGCCTCTATTGTTGGTTTTGCCTGAAGTCAAGCATCTCATTCTGATCCTGCACCAAAGAAGAATGAATACATCTGCTTAGCCAGTTAGCAAGATAGTTATCTTTACTTTTAGTATGTTTAAATTTTACTTTAAAATCATTTCTAGTTATGATATTTACAAAATTCATCCATTGTTTGGAAAAAATACTTTTTTCATTTTTCTTTTGAAAATATTTTATAATTGCCTCACAGTCTGTTCTAATTGTAAAAGTATCATTTTGGATAAAAAGTCTAAAGGAATTTAAAGCATTTATAACTCCTAATATTTCAAAATCAAGAGACATTAAAGAATTTTTACTTTCTCTATACAACCCACTAGAATATCTACAAATTTTTTCTTCTTTTTAAGATGACAACTCATTAGATTTTACTAATAAAATTGCTCCCCATCCTTCACTACTACTATCAGTCTCGACTATTTTGTAGTTAAATTCCAATGGTTGAGTTAGAGAGGGTAAATTTTTTACTTCATCTTTTATTCTTTTTACAAGTTTAATGTCCTCACTATTAAAAAATTTTTGTCCTTTGGGACTAAGTTTCACATATAATGGTCCAATCAATTTAGATAGATCCTTTATATACATTTGGGCATAATTGAGTATACCCAAGAATTTTTGAAGTTCTTTAGTTTCCTTGATTTTGTCGGGGAAGTCAAGAATCTTCTTAACTATATGATCCTGTAACTGAATTTTTTCCTATCCAATCCTCATTCCTAAAAATTCAATGTACTTTTTGGAGAGTTCCATTTTCTTTTTAGAAATTATAAGGCCATTTTTCAAGAATTTAGTAAAAACGATATGAAGGTGTTTGATATGCTTGGTCTCAATTTTGCTAAAGACGAGGATATCATCTATGCATGCGAAAACAAAATCAGAATAATTTTTGAATATATGATGCATCTTCCTTTGGAATATTGAAGGTGCATTTTTTAATCCAAACGGCATGACTAACCATTCAAAATGTCCTTCGAGACAAGTGCAGGCTGTCCATGGAATGGATTATTTTTCCATTTTGATATGCTAGAAACCAGATTTACAATCAAATTTGCTAAAAATTTTTGAATTTTGAATGCAATTGATTAGTTGATCTTTATCTGGTATCCTGTATGCATCTTCATAAATGTTATCATTTAGCCTTTTATAATTTATAACCATCCTAGCTTTTCCTCGTTTGATTTCTACATGATTTCTTACCATAAAGGCTGCAGAGGAATGTCTGGAAATGGAATGCTTTATAATTCCCAAGGCTAAAAGTTCTTTTATTTGAACCTCAAATTCATGTCTGTCAAGTGGATTGTGATCCATCTTGCCACAAATAATTTTAAGTTCAGGATTTATTATATCTAATTTTGCTATACATTTATTTCGATCCCAATATTTGATTGGGTTTTCTCCTAAAATTTGAGTTTCATTAACTATTTTGATTAACTCATCTAAGTCCATTTATATATATATATATATATATATCGAGACTAATACCTCATTGATTTAATTAAAGACAAGTTATCCATTTTGAAATTAGAAAATTAATGAGAGATTACTTTTATTTATTAATCTTTTAAAAAAATAAATCTTGGTCAGTAAAATAGAAAATAAATTATTTTTCCAATTAAACCATAACTCCTTCGATCATATTAACCTTTTTCTCCACTCTTGAAAGTTGTAAATAAAAATTTTATAAATTATTGTAGTTACATGCATATCATTATTTGACATATAATTAGTATATGTACCTAAACTTGTAGATCAATTTGTGAAGTACAAATTTCATGTATTCTAGCAAGACCTGCTCAAATCCACCTTCCTAGACAATAAATAAATAAATAATTCATAATCCATTTTTCAATCATATAGGCACATTGTTAACTAAATTTAAAGGGAAATAATTTTGGATAATTTTTTTGTATCATTTTTTGATATAATTTAATATATTATTTAAATAATTAATTTTTTTAATTTATATAAAACTCATGATATTAAATACAACTACTCATTTAATGATACATAAAAATTATATTAAAAAGTAAAATAAAAAAATTATACCTATAACACCACTTAAATTTAAACCCCCAAATAGAATATAACATAGATATATACATTCTCGTCTCGCTTTTTCGCCACACAAAAAATTATAAAAGAATTTTACTCTACGGACAGGAATATTTAACTCTTTTTGGTGCCTCTTCCTGTTACTTCAGAATTAGCATCAGTACTCCCTTTTTTTTTTTTTTTTTTTTTAAAATTAATTAAAATTAATATTAGCATCTGTTAATAAAGAAGCTTAAACAGTGGAAAGGATGCAGATCATCTATCATCCAAGGGCAGCGTGGCCACTTGGGGGTCTGCAGCATCAGTACTCTTTTTCTCATTTCTATGACTACTTACACTGTATACCAAAGAAAATACAAATAAGTTAAAATAAATCCAGATAAAATTCAGCTCTCCCACCTTCTTAACCAAGGTTAATTAGATATTTAAGGAAAATCATGACTCATGAGTATTGTGAATTTCAATTATTTATCTTTAATTAAACTTAAGACGTATATTTCACGTGATGCACGAAAACTACTTAAGATTTTACATAAAATTTCTAATTTATTAGAATACCATCACCACAAAAGAAATTATTGGCGTGCTCAGAAAAGATTCAATATATTAAGAATAGCTATGAAGAATCTAACTAAAGCCCTTGAAATAAACAATCCCTGCAACTTGGAATTGCCAAAAGGCGCACACCTTGCTTTGGGTGCATTACAGCTGGAAAACGAAGAAAACGCGTAAGACAAACAAACAGTAAGGATTACGCGTATCTTATTACGATATCATTATTTCATTGCTAATGATTAAGCAACTTGTACTTTCATAAGTTACATCTCAAAGAGTAGTTTGAATTCAAGTTTTCAGTTTCGTCTGTTTCTCTAGTAAGACATAGACTACTTTATTACTAATAATTTTACATTAATTAGATAAAATGAAATTTAAGATTTATTTACTTTTTTTATTCAAGATTTATATTTATTTGGGTGATAGTTTAAGGAATACACATTCTCTAGTGAGTGCTTTATCATGAGCCATCAACTTACTCCAAATTAAAATTTTGAGTTCAAAATTTAAAACAAGTAAAAAAAAATTAAAGAAATGAAAAAATTATTTCTTATTATATAACTCATTATTTGATATATCAAAAAAAAAAAAAAACATCTTGCTAGGATGCATGCTTGTATGTGAAACTGTTATAATTGAAGAGGGCTGTATTTGAAGATAATCTATTGAAAAACACTTTATTTGAAGATAATTTATTGAAAAAGACTTAATCATGATTCATTAAAGTAATAATATGCTCGCATGAAAATAGCATTGGACATGAAAACGATGGCATAAAATAACAAGAAACGATATTAGAGGACCACGACAACATTTTGCATATCTAAGAGATGGCAGTGTTTAATCATAAAGGGATTAGTTTAACTCCTGTAAGTTTGTACTTTGATGGGACAAATGACAAAAGAAATTGGGAGAAAACCAAATTCCAACCAGAAGGACCAAGATTAAATGAAAATGAAGTACTGAAAAAGAACGTAACAAACAACAAAACTCCACAAGTCCAGAGAATGCTAATGTTATATATCTGTGATGCAGATTTTTCTGTTGCAATACTAGCTGTTAAAGTTCAAATGTGATCAACTGATCATGATATCTCACATTAAGAGAATTTTCTTCTTCCTTTTTCTTTTTCTTTTTTTTTTTTTGGGGGGGTGGGGGGAGAAAATGCTTTATCCATCACATCAAAAGAATAAAGTTTAAAGAATATGTATATTATGGAGGATCCACTAAACAACCAAGTTTTTTGGTTCAAATGGTCCTCAACAAGTATCTATATGCCTAGATGGTGAGCAAACTGCACAACCTAAGTAAATCAGAATGTTGCAGATCACAAGCTTAAAGATTTGGTTTAGAGTAGTTCCAGGACAGATCTATTAGACCCTACATGCAAACTTGGGAAAAATCCTACTTCCACGTCCCAACACTCACATCATCTTGATGATTATGGTCATGACTTACTTTACACATGCGGATGTGTTTCTATACAAAATTCTACAAACAGAACTAGAAGTCTAGAAGGGTTCAGTTGCAGCTGGAAGATCCAAGTTAAATGGAAGTGATACCAATAAAGAAAACAGTTGTACCTGTTAGCACTCAGTTCATTTGTATACCATTGCGGCTTTGTTTTGCCATACAATTCAGATTCAGTACCTTTGTTGTCAAACCACTTCACACAATTGCCTTGGCAGACAGCTGAAAATAATAAGTTAACCACTGCCTTGAAGACCCACTATGTTAGAAATTGCATCTTCAAGGGAAGAAAAGTGAGTCAAGAACTTCTCATGAAGCTCAGCAGACTCTACAGGACCTGGTTGCCACTGGGTAAGACTCTCACTAATTACCCTCAGACCATTCTGTAGCATTTCCACTCCCTTGCTAATTCCATCAGGAAGCTTCCTTCTTTTGTTTGATTGGTTTTCACCATCTACACTATCTATCCCTATATTTTCACATTGTACAACATCTATATTCATATTTGCTATCTTTTGAACCATTCCTTTCAGAACTAGACCTTCCTCCATAAGCATCCCAACTTGCTCATAGCTGGGTGTAACCGTAAGAAGAGCCATTTCTTTCTCAAGAAATGCCTTAAATTCAGACATGAATCTCTCCTCGCTTGCCTCATTTCCAGCCACTAAATCATATGAAAGAGCAGCATTTTGCGGCACAAATCTCCATAACTGATTACAATTAGTACGAGCAGCAAAATATCCAAATGATGCAATGGCCAAATGCACAAATGCCCAGTGCCGGTCTCTCAAAAGCATGTGATACAATGCCCACGTGGCAGAGCTTGTGGCACAATTATCACTTTCTGACATCATCATTTGACTAAGTGCAGCCATGTAAAGAGCCAGTTCAGGTTTGCAATGAGACAACTGGACATCTGAAGCTGTTTTTCCTGAAACAAACAAGTCCTCAAGCTCCAAGATGACCTCTTCCATCTCATTTGGTGCATATACGTGACTTATATTTGAGATTATCCCTAATCCTTCAGCCAAAAGCTTACAGAAACTGTCCTTAGCTAACTTGTCTGCAGAATTTCTGTAGCCATGAATAACTGTAACAAGGAACTTTGCAGTCTTCTTGTCAATGTCGGATAAGCTAACTTGCCTGCAAGAGACAATAATTTTAGGCACTATTACAACTTGAAACTTGAGAATTTTTTAAGAAAATTATTTTAAAACCAGAGGCTCTACATAAATTTCAAGCAATTTTTTTTTTTTCTTAAAGAACAGATTAGAAAGCAAGAGAGCAATCCATGTGTCTGAATGTGGAACAATTAGTATACATATTTCATATTTGTTTCTCTAAGATAATCAAACTCCTTAAAAGACATGTTATACTGTATAGTTTTGCAGAAAGGAATATTGAACTTCTATAAAAACTCCAGAATATAATACTTGCACTTACAGTGATTGAAGGGAAGCAGATAGAGCAAACACTGGAACCCCAAGGGAAAAACTGGAGAAATCTAACAATTTGTCATCAAAACTGTCTATAAGACCAAAGTAATCAGTAATGATTTTTTCTTTAGCAATGCTTCTCAAGCTATCTTGCAACAAGTTCAGCGGAAAGCCTTCCTGGAGAAGAGCTACATACAGAACCAGCAACTGAGATCTTTCATCACTGACAACAGACCTGTAAACCCTCTCTATGGCTGATGGTGAACCAAATGCTATAAGCATACAGATTGATCTTGCAGTTTTCCTTAGAGCAGAACCCTGAAAATGAACTGATTCTGAAGATGATACAAACATCATTAATGCACACAGTTTGTCAATGATCCCAATAACCAACTCTCTCTCAGCATGACGCACCACAAAGCACCAAAGTTCCATTATAATGTCCCAGCAAAGACAGTGAGGATGGAAGAAATTCTCCAGCAGGAAAGACTCCAGTTCACCCCAAGCAAGGGTTGAAGAAACAACTATCATGAAGGTTTTCAGTGCATTTAAAAGAGCTGAAAATATAGGTTCCCAAACCAAATCCACTGTCTTTCCTGAAACATACGACACTGGAATATGTGAAACAAGAATGAATGAATAAATCTCTTCATCAATTAATATTTGTAAAAACCAGTCCAGCTTTCTGGCAATCAAAAAGTTTACATCTTCCTCAAGACCAGAAGAGTATCTTAGAAAAGTGATAAAAAGTGCCACTCGACCAGGCAACAATACTCTCACCTTTGACATTGCCGAAAGATTTACAGAAAAGATTTCATCCATTGAAGTTGCCATACAATTTTTGACTGGATCACCATTAACAGAATCTAAGCAAGAGTCATCAATGAACAAGAAGTCAACAAGTCCATACTTCTGCTCCTGTTTCACATCACCTGAATTTAGCAAAGAACTAAGTAAATCAAAGGATGTTTTCTCCAAGAGTTCTGCCACCATTTCACTTGCATTTTTCAGAAGTTTCTCATTGCTCAGTAATAATTTGAAGGCTGAAATTGTCAGGACACAAAGTGCTAAATCCCTGAAAACTTGAAATCCTTGACAGGGATACAGAGAACATATTTTTACTGCATTAATCAAATAAAACTTTACTGGAATACAAGTCCTTCTAGCTTCGGCTACAGAAACAGTATCCTTCAGTGAAGAAGACCATAACTCAGCTGCACATTTGAGAGACTCATTGACAAGTGAAATTAAAGTCTTAATAATCTCAGCTACCTTTCCCTTCCATGATAATTTTCCCTTGCCTAGCTGAAGCAAGGTAACCACACCTTTCCATGAAACATTCAGAATGGTTACCAGACTTCCACCATCATTAGCTGCTAAGATGCCTAGTTCAAAAAGCTTTTCTATAGTAACCATTGTTATGTTAATAATACAGACCTTCTGACAATTTATATCCATCGTATCTTTCTCAAATTCTATGTCAGAGAGCTCCCATTTCACCACTTGCAAGTACTCCTTGCATAGTTTTATCGCAGCTTCAATGGCCATTTGTGCAGCCCTTAGTACCTCTCCACCAATTGAACTGATTTTCTGTATAAAAAAATGACAGTATCCTTAGAAAAGGACGCTATTAAAACAAAAGTGTTTCAGACTTTAAATAGTCACATTATTTAATAGCAAAAAGAACAAATTTTTTGCACTCCTAATCTCCCATCTAGGTCCAGCCACAACTCCAACAAATTAAAAAGCCTTGGTCTTTGACAAGACAAAAAATGTATCTAACCCCATCAACTAAGACTTCTAAACAGCCAAGAAGCTAATAAATAAATTGGAAATCTCAGTATGTATTGCTGTTTTTCAACTAATTCAATAAGAGCAGTATGCATTCATATAGAGAGAACCAGCATGGCATATATTGAACATGATGCAACCCTGGTTATCCATGCTTCTCTTCAAAACTTACCTGTCATGACTCAAATGTTAACAAAGGTTCTAGAAGGATACCAGATTTGATTTTTATTTTTATTTTCTATTTTTTTGGATAAGGCCAGCTGAAATATTCATTAAAGCATGCAACAAAATTTGCCACATAATATCTAGTCAGAAAAAATAGACCAATGCCACCTCAATGAACAAAATCAACCCATTATCAAGCTCTTCATAAAAGATTTATTCCTCACAAACCAAATAAGCTAAGCATTGAGTAGATTGCAGTTCCTATTTGTTAATGCTGCATGATGATTAGTGACACAGACAAACATAAAATAGATGAAGCTGATACCTTAATTTCTGATATTGCATTTCTTATCATATCCAACTGCTCCAAAATAAAATTTTCAACAATCTTCAATATCTCATCATCCAAGGTACAGTTCCTTGTAATAGCTGTGGAGATAGTAGCAGTGAAGTTCAAAACATCCAAGAGCAACTGCAAAATTATGTCAATGACAATAAAATAACTTTCTTGGACATAATGTAAGTAAAGAGACTATCGTACTCAAAAAAGATTAAACTGTTTTAGAAACCTAACAAACTGTAGATATTCTATACTGTCCACAATTATTAATAGAAATTCAT